ATAATGTCCAGAAACATATTTGTATTACTGTACCATCGTCACAGACGTTTTGAGCTTACTGAATTCTGGCTGAGACGTGGTTCAGTTGCAGGACGTAACTGCTGTTCCAGTTTGCGGACCGCTGGCTGACAAACACTTCCTAACCGTCACTCTCCTCTGTTTAGTTTGTTACATAAATGACGTAATTCGAGTCCTCGCATCAATTGTGAAGCCATGACCTTGATTGCAACCGCGAAAATGGACGCGAGTTACATTGTGCAGTTGCTTTTTGTTCCTGTATCGACTTTGCCTTAGAATACGCCATTAAGAAGGTTGGACTGAAATTAAACGGGACACATCAGCTGCTGGTCTGTGCTGATGATGTGAATCTGTTGGGTGATGATAAGATACCATAAAGGAAAAAAACGCAGTTTTTCATTCACGCTGCCAAGGAGGTTGGTCTAAGGTAAACGTAGATAAAACTAGGTACTGTATAAGGCCGCGCCATAGCTCAAGCTGTTAGTCTCTGGCTTCCCATCGCGGTGGCCTCGGTTCGATCCCGGGTCTGGTCAAGTGGAATTTGTGGTGGACAAAGTGGCGCTGGGGCAGGTTTTCTCGGAGTACTTCGGTTTCCCCTGCCAATCTTCATTCCAGCAATTGCTCCACAGTCACCCTCACCTATCATCTGGGTCTGGTACAATAGGCCAGAAGTGGCCGCAGTACAAGGGACTTAGTCCCACCCCACTAGCAATAAAGAAAAGTACTGTATATGTTGCTGTCTCGTCACCAGAATGTAGGGCAAAATCATGACATAAAGATAGCTAACAGATGTTTTGAAACTGTGACACAGTTCAGATATTTGAGAATGACAGTAACAAATCAAAACGTGATTCAGGAGGAAATTAATAGGAGACTGAACTCGGGTAATGCTTGCTACCGTTCAGTCCAGAAGTTTTTGTCTTCTCGTCTGCTGTCTAGAAGCATAAACATTAGAATATACAAATTATAATTTTGCCCGTGGTTCTGTATGGGCGTGGGGTTTGGTCTCTGACATTAAGAGAGGAACAAAGACTGAGGGTGTTTGAGAACAGGGTGTTGAGGAGAGTATTTGGACCAAAGAGAGATGAAGTGACGGGAGGTTGGAGAAAACTGCATAATGTGGAGCTTCATAACTTGTATTTTTCACCAAGTACATATAATTAGTATGATCAAATCAAGGAGGATGAGATGGGCAGGGTATTTAGCATGAATGGGGCAAATAGGATGCATATACATATCAATATAGAATATTGATAGAAAAGCCAAACTGTGAGAGACCACTAGGAAGACCAAGATGTAGGTGGGTGGATAATATTAAAATGTATGTTAGAGAGATAGAATTGGGTGGTATGGACTGGATTGGTCTGGCTCAGGATAGGGACCGGTGGAGGACTCTCATGAAGACAGTAAATTGCTGCTGAGAGCGGCCATAAGTAAGGCGCAAACAAAGAGGAATGTGGAATTGTGGCCTTGTTTCAGGAATTGATATGGATCTATTGCAACTTACAGCGTTGATTGGCTTTGCAATTGTACAGAGTGATCCGTTATATACAGTATACACGCATAAGACGTTGTACTTTATATCTGCATGCACAGTGCGTGCTTGAAGACTGTACACGCGTCAATCCTGCGGACCAAGTTTCGAGAGCCGTGCCGCTGCCGAGGCCACGTACAGTTGTGTGCATGTTGGAGTGTTCTTAGTACACGCGTGGTTTCAAGAAAACCTCTCTCATTTTCTGGGAGGTTTGGAGTGCCGTACCGGTAGATAGCGTCCAAAGCAGACACAGAGTGTTAAAGAGGCTTATTTCCTTGCTCTCACGCTGGTTTCTTGCTTGGACAGGCTATATGTTCATCCGAAACGTCGGTTTTCTTTCAGCAGATTACACGGCGTTATATCCCCGAAGATTAGCCTCTTCATCACTATGCTACAAGCCGGAAGGTCGCGAGTTCGATTCCCGATGAGGTCGTTGGATTTTCTTTTTTCACTTTACCTAATCCTAGCCGCACTGTGGCCCTGGAGTCGACTCAGCCTCTAACAGAAATGAACACCAGGAATCTTCCCGGGGGGTAAAGGGCGGCCGGCGCATAAGGCTGACAACCTCACTGCCATCTGTGAGCCGATTGTCTAGAAAATGTGAGAGCCTCGACGTGTCACCACCCTGTTGACCTTACAGTATATATTTACCTTCTTTTTAATGCTAGTGGGGTGGGATTAAGTCCCTTGTACTGCGGCCACTTGTGGTCTCTTGTGCAAGCCCCAGATGATAGGTGAGGGTGATTGTGGAGCAATTGGTGGAATGAAGATTGGCAGGGGAAACCGAAGTACTGGGAGAAAACCTGCCCCAGCGCCACTTTGTCCACCACAAATCCAACTTGACCAGACCCGGTGGGAAGCCAGCGACTAACCGCTTGAGCTATGGCGCGTATCTTTATGCCTCTTCATAACAACCGCTGTGAGAACCTCATGTCGGACGAAAACATGGACTTTAAGACGCGATGTGGAAGGGGGTGCCGAGCTCTGTGAGGCTTGTGAGTCCGTGCAAGGTCATTTCCGTGGACTCAAGGAATTAGAGCCGCCTCCATGTGGGCGCGTGCTCTTGCAGCTGTTGCTGTTCGTTTCGCAATGTCCGATGCTCTTCTTGACGAGGGGACCGGCCAAGTTGCTCCAGCGGCAGCGTTCCAAGTGCTCGGCTCGTCCGTCCTTCCATGCATACGCCGCATACAGCCTTCATCATTAGGCCAGGACCGCTTCCTTCATAATCCTTTCAAATGTGTCCTCTGTTATCCTACCATTCGATGCTATATGCCCCTAGTCTGGTAAGCGAAAGCGCCTAAGATAACCAACATTAGTCCACTGAGATCTGATTGGGCACATGAACATCCCACGCGTAATTGCTCCAGGTCAAGCAGTTCCTGGGAAATAAAGTCCAGGAAGACCCCGTTTTCACCCCTCAAGTGTGCGCTTTGTGTTGACCGGTTTGCCCGATCAGATAATGCCTTCGCGATATCAGCTGTTCCCTTCAAACCAACCGTCACTTCTGGGATTTAAAGTAAAGTATGAACTGTTCCCAGGGCGTATCTTCAGGCATTGTGATAGGCCTATCGAAATCGTATTTTTGTGGTCAGGGTGGCACTATGCGTCTCTGAAACCATGGTACCCACCTGCCAGTTTCCATGGCGTCAAACCCAATAAGACCGAGCAGGCTGACGCAGCCATAAGACTGTATGCTCATTCGGGAAGTTCTTGGTTCCAATCTCAGTCATGACACCACCTATCCTATACTGGCCCCAGTATAGGTCCATGCAATGTGGACCCATAAGCTGTGTTTTTTATTCAGTGTGAGGGACCAAGTTTGGCACTTAAACAAAAGAACACGTGAAGTTACTTGTGTGTACAGTAAACCCTCGGTAATCCTGTTTCTGAGCAGTTGTCCCATGATCCTCACAGCTCAGCCTGTACGCTTCAAACGACAGTGATACCTATGCGAGTATGTGCCTCGTAGTATCTGACCTTAAGAACATCTGCATCTTGCCACAACACGTGTGTGTGTGCGTGTGTGGTTCTCACAATAAGCAGCGATTGTTTCTCCAAACAGCATTAACCGGTTGGGCTTTGTAACGGAGCGTAATGTGTTTCCTGTGAGGTACGGACTGAATTTGTAATTGTTATTTAGACGAACATCAAGCTTGGGACGTTTCTTCTGTGTGTGCTGAAGGTATGACGTGTCTTTAAGGATGTTCTATACAAGTGTGTGTATAATTAGTCTAAGCTGGGCATGTTTGTTGGTTCATCGTATCAGTGAATATGTACCTCTGAGGATGGTGATGTAAATGTCGAAACGTGTTGGGACAGTAATGGATTTAAACTGATTTCAAGATTTCGTAATGTAATTGTGATGATAAACAGTCCTAAGAAATACAGTAGCGCACAGCTAAAAAAAATAGAAATTGTTTTTCGGTTAAGTTGCGGTATTTGGCCAGTTTAATAAATTCGCTTATTTGCGTTAAAGGACCTAATTCATTGTTTTTAATTGCAGTGAATGAAAAAGTTCCGAAATTATCAGCTCTTTTCAGTTTGAATTTTACGTTGCATTCAAAACACATGTCTGATTATGTAATGGCGACTCACGCACGTGCGTGACTCCTTCAGCACGTGCGTACGCACACTGTCTTCACAGCAATGTCGAATGGAGTTCGTGACACGAACCAGTTGTGAAGGCCTAGCCCAAATGTATGTGCCTGGGTACTTGGACTGTACTTCTCTAGCAGAAAGGGTTTCACTGTTGCACTCAAATGCCTCAGGTTAGAAGAACCTGGAGGCCAGGCAGTCGAATCCCCACGCCCAGTCCATATGTCCGGAAGTTGTTGTTCTTGGCTGAAGTCACATGCCCTGGCTAACATTTAGGGCGCATCCTCTAATGAAAGGGCACGAGTTCTTTTCAGTGCGCTGAATTTCATTCGGATGATTCGCCGTCTCGTATGTGGACGGTTCCGGCCCGGGCGTTGGCGCTACGGCTTTGTGGAAATAAAGAGCGTCAGTAGCATGAGGATTCTGCAGTGCCCCTTGATGTGAAAGTTGGTACGTCGGCCACTAGCGGGTTTGCTCTGCCGCCCCGGCTGGTAGATAAGTGTGGAACCGTCGGTGGGACTAGAATTAGCAGTAGGATAGAAAATTTGTCTGTGCCATTTTGTCCACCACAAATCCCACATAACCTGACCTGGGATCGAACGCGGGCCGCAGTGGTGATAAGCCGGCCACAAACCGCCTGAACTGTGGCACGGCCTCGAAGTTCTCTTGCTCCATTTCCTGTAAATGTTGCATCGTCAGTCCGCGGTTCACGGCACAACAAAACAGGTTTGTGTACTTTTCCACGCATTGCAGTAGAGCTCCTTCTTGTGACGTCATGAAGCCTGCATCACACGAACATATGAGAGAATCGAGATCAGAAGTTAAAAAGTGCCGGGACTCGGAAACGGTGGCGAATCATACAAAACTTTATGCTTGAAATTATCGCCGCAACAGCTTCCTAAAGTTTGGCTGTAGGAATTTGTGTCGTTCCATATAAAAATGCTGTATGAGACGTCCTTCTTACCGTAACGACAATAAGAACATTTGCGATTTTGCGAAACTGCGGTGATGTTCCAGACAAACCGAATGCCAACAGAATACATGCACGAGACTAGTTCTTGCGAGCCTCATTGTGAAGACTGGAACATCTCATGGGAATAGTCATGTTTTCCTACATTTCAGTCGCGGATTTCGTGCTCCATCGCCGTTCATCCACGAAATGAACACAGTTTTGTAGTCAGCAGGCAAGTATGTAAGCTATGTAACACTGCCTCATCAAGGTTGTGACATAACGCAACAATAATCTGAAGCAGAAGCTCTGTGGAGGTGTGTTGTAAACGTTTTTAAGTTTGTAAGACTTTAGGTTTTCATGGCGGTGCCGTCTTCTGCGATGTGGCGCCGTGTAGATCCTGTGTTCCTCCAAAGCGGTTCACACAAGTTCTACACGGCTCCACATCCCAGAAGACGGCATTCTTCATTTTTAAATTTGTATTCCTCAGCTTATCTTCATGATGGATGATGAATGATGTGCTCGCAAAAGTGGATGTGAGCTGCAGATGAGCAAGTCCATATCATTGGATGGAAACGTACACAGGACTGTACTGTCAGGAGTGAATGTTCCACCCCTTAAATGGTAGCCTTATCTGTAGTGGGTAGTAGGGAAACCATACATTACTGATGGGCACCATCAACATATTAGTCTGCAGTCACATCTGGATATCAGCTGATAGCTACTTTTGCTCAAAAGATAAGGAAAGAGGGAGCAACAAATATGGGTGTCAGTTAAGTAGTTCATGTGGATAGCCAGTTGTTTCAGGTATGCTGCTTTGCTTGTTCAGTGGCATTGTTCTGGTCCTTGTTCAAATTAGACGCTGTCAATACAGATGATGAACTGCACCTTCTCTTGGTCACTATTCATAAATAAAATACAGAGATCCTCGAAAATACATTTCTTTTTACGTAAGATGCTAGTAAATTGGAAGTTTTGTACTGCCCATTTTCCCAGAAGATTGTAGCAGCAGACACAATCAGACTTGAGGTGACCCTGCAAGGTGTCTGTTTCAGGAGAGGTCTGCAGACTGCTGAACTGACAGACTTGACCACAAGATGGCAGAAGCACATTCAGCGGTTGCATTTTCCTTCTCCATCACGCATGAGGGCTGGGATGTCAACTTTGACCGGGAGGTGCTACACCTGGTCTGGCAGTCTGGCATTCGCTCTTGGAAGAAGCGTATTGCCAGGTTCAAGGTAAAATGATTACGTGCAGAATATTTGTGTTTAGTTTCCAGGATGTTCTGTATCAGTTCTTCGTTATAATGTGGAAGACTAATCGGGATGCTTTATAGAAAAATATTTTATCTTGTTCATTATGAACACAGCTCTCTTAAAAAACGCATTTGCTGTGCTAAACATTGCTGTCGCCTGCAGTGTGATGCCATGTAGATTGTACCTTTTTTACCACACTACACGATGTCGCACCGTGAGAGCCTCAGTCTCACATCGGCTGTGTTACTTGAAGAACTGCCATTGGCATGCGCTGCTGGATGACTGCACCTTCATGACGTTTCCTTGCTTTGTATTACTGCTCATCATATCATCGCTGCACCTTCATGACGTTTCCTTGCTTTGTATTACTGCTCATCATATCATCGCATAGCTGTCTCCATAAGCGCCCTCCATAGTCTAGGGGTAATGTTCCCACCTCATGATTCAAGGTACGCGGGTTCAAACCCGGCGGAGGTCGTGGAATTTTCAAGGGCAGAAAAATTCGGGGAACAAGTCCTCCGGGAGGGACTTTAAGCCCTGGGTCCTGTGTCTTAGATTTACGGCACGTAAAAGATCCTCATGTCTCTAGGAGACCTCTGAGCAAAATTAGGTAAAAAGTTTCCTGCCCAAGTAGTTTCCAATGCCTCCGGTAGATGGGGAAGTTATCGGGTACCACTGCCAGCCTAGCTGGCTGGACGGGGCTGATAGCAAGCACCAGTACCGGCAGGGTATGGCGACTGGTAGAATATCAAAGGGGGATGTACAGTAGACTATTAGTTGCGGTGCATGGGGAAACCCACCCCCTCTAATAATAATAATAATAATAATAATAATAGCTGTCTCCATAGAGTTTTCCAGCTAGTCAAACACTTCCCATCATTTCGCAGAACCGTGTTCACAGGAAGGAGTATACCTTCCTATTCGGTAAAAGGGCCAATTTAGTATCCTCCAATCTAGTTTTTCAAATTTCCTTTATGTTTTCCTGCCAAAATTCTGTGTGCATTGCTGTTCTGTCCAGTGTGTTCTGCATGCCACACCATCACAATCCTAGTGATGAGTATAAATTATGACTGTCCTCAGTGTACAGCTTCCTCCAGTCACTCGTAGGCTCATCTGTTCTCAGCACCTTGCTCTGCTATTTAGTTAACCCGATTTGTTTCCTTTTCCAGAATAATATCAGGAACGGCATATACCCAGCCCCACTACAGAGTCTGTGGGCAATTGTTGCAATTTTGGCTGCAGTGCACTTCGCTAAATATGGGATGGTGCACACTTGCATCAATGCAATTTTGGTGCTAATGCCAGGGTATGTATTTTTGGATCACACTCATTTTGCAAACAACTGCAATTTTGTAATTCTGAGTTTACCTCTGAAGCTTAAAATATGCAAAATTGCTAATTATTCCCATGCCTGAGTATTTGCATGTGTGAGTGAGGGGACAGGTTGAGAATGTGGTTGCGCTGTAGGTGGGTCACTGCTCAGCATCTGGAAATGTACTCATATGGTGTTTTCCTGTACAGATTTGCATGATGATGTACTGAACAAAACACACAAGCTAAGTGCTTATGCACCATTGGAATATGTCCTCTCACAACTTAATGGCCTAATTCCAGCTCTCCAGCTGTTTTTGGAAGCAAGCCTGGAATGCTTTGTTCACAATGGCTCCCAGTGTGCCCCTTGTTGACATCTCTTTCGTTTAAGTTCAGTAAATGGGTACCATTGTTTTGTAGAAACCTGCTGCCTCCATCTTCAGGATAGGAGAATGTTCCTTGCTGTGAGGACCGCAGAGCACAGATTCCCAAGTGCCTGTAAAAGTAACGTTTTGGTTTGTGTAGGTCAACATTGCTGTGGGAGCTTCTGGCATGTTTGCTGCTGGGCATGGTTGTGTGGCTCGCCATTATCTACGCGGTTCGCTACTCACTCAAGCTGCTTCTCATGTATAAGGGCTGGATGTATGAAGAGCGAGGGAAGGGTCGTGTCATTTCCACTCGTACCAAGATATGGTTCCTTTTTGTGAAAATTCTCTCTGGTGGCAGCAGGCCTCTACTCTACAGCTACCAGGGGTCTCTTCCCCGTCTTCCCCTTCCATCTCTGCAGGAAACAATGAGCAGGGTAAGTTTTGTCATGCTGCATTTTTTTTTCTTTTTACTGGGATTAAAATAGTAACACTGTCAGCCCTAGCCAGGCAAGTTTGTCTGTTGGACTGACATTCAGAAGGTCACTGGAGACTGAACAGGTGAGGCTCTGGACTTGTATTTAGGGGGTGCTCGGTTCAAATCTTGGCTGGGATACAGATTGCACACACTGAGATTTAGTGGTTTTCTTTAGTCCCTCCCCAGGCTACTATTGCTTCCTGTTAATTTGTCATTCATTGATGTTATATATCCTGAGATAGTGATGTCACAAAGTAAACCACACACAAGCTCTTTGTTGTCTTGTATGCCTACGGAACATCTGCATCTTGGATCACATTGTTACGGAGCTACTGCCATCTCATATTGGCACCTGTTACCGCTGCTGTGATGTGAGATCAGTTGCAGTCCTCAGGCTGTCTGTAACTACATGGAATTGACAATTTAATGGAGGGACTGAGAAAAACATTAAAATACCATGGTCAGAGTAGTTGATGCATTGACCAGGAATCAAACAGAGCACCGCCCAAAGAGAAGTTATATCACTTGAGCCAGCTTTCTGTGTGTAAGAGCAAACACACGACTCATTTCTGTAGTTTCCTTCAGCTGGTGAAGACAGTGAAATATTTGTTGTAATGTAGTAACTGACTCCTTGGCATTGCCATGTTTGTTCCTCTGCAATTTAGAAATGCAATGGCTGGGGCTCCATAGTGAAATTTTACTGTAACTGAATCAGTAAGACCCAACTCACTCGGGCATGCAACTGAAAATCTGGCTTCTGAAACACCTCATTCAGGTCTTTAGACTTCCCCGCACAGAACACATGGGAAATCATAAACATTTCTTGAAATATTTGAAATACTTTCCATGCTGAGAAAAGTATGTAGATGCTCAAGGATCCTTGCGGTTGTGTTTGTAAACTAAAGGACATCCCAGGGTCACATCTGAGCCCCAAAACCGTCTGTCTCAAGTCAGGCTTTTTGTTATACCCCCAGGCAAATGCCAGGAATATGGGTAGTTGTTAGCATGTCACATTCTCATTTACTGTTGCATTTTGGATATTCTGTGGCCTGTTACATTCCCTGTGTTTCCTGTTAAGTTTCTCTGTTTTTTGTGTGAATGCAGTTTTCATCTTGTATTTGAGATCAGGCAGTTATATGTCATTGTTGGCAGTATCTGAGAAGTGTTCGTCCTCTCCTCAATGACAAAGATTACTCCAGGATGCAGAAGCTTGCTCAAGAGTTTCAGAATGGAATTGGTGCCAAACTACAGCGTTACCTTGTTCTCAAGTCCTGGTGAGTGGCCTGGCCGATCATATGAAAAGCGATACCTCACAGAAGTGTGTTTGTTTCACTAGAAAGCAAGTCAGTGGTTATGTTTAGTTTGAAGTTATTACAAGTTTTGGAGGTGGGGATCATGCAATAATTGTTGCATAATATTATTGTTATATAATATAATAAGTGCATAACTTTTCAACATTTAAATTTTTTTAAATAACCATGGCAATATTAAAAGAGACTATTATATATTATTGCACTCAGTATGATGCAGGCATGGGAAAAAGACAGTGTTGTGTCATGTTGAGAACTTGGGGTTTGTGTTCCTTCTGTGACATCACTCACTGCAGTGGTTAAGAGAAACTATAGCAGCTGTTTCCTGCGATGTAACACAAGAAATATCTTTTGTACAGGTGGGCTACAAACTATGTATCTGATTGGTGGGAGGAGTACGTGTACCTGCGGGGTCGTTCTCCTCTTGTGGTCAATTCAAACTTCTACGGCATTGATGCTATCTTAATCGATTCTGTGCGTACTCAAGCAGCACGTGCAGCCGCTGTCATCAGCATCTGTTTGCAGTTCCGTCGTCTTATTGAACGCCAAGAACTGGAGCCTGTATGTTGTTCAGATTTCTGTAGGAGTGTAGCCATATAGACAATACAGCTACTTAAAGCAATAATTGAATTACTTAGTCCATGTAAATGTTGCAGATTCTGATCCAGGGGTTGGTACCGCTGTGCTCATGGCAGTATGAACGTGTATTTAACACGACCAGAGTTCCTGGAGTGGAGACAGATCGCATAGTTCACTACATGGACTCGAAGCACATAGTCGTGTACCATAAAGGAAGATACTTTAAGGTGTTCATATATTTTCGTGGTCGCATCCTCAGACCATGTGAAATTGAAGTGTAAGTTTTTCAGCTCTTCAGGACAATGAAGTAAAAATTTAGACACAATGAAACATTAAATACATTAAATGGTGCAGAATTTTTGCATGTAACATGTGGAAGTGAATGTACTGCAGCCCAGCTGTGAGGAGGTTCTTCCCTACATAGCCCAGTTCATGGCACTGCACTTGACAGTGACCAGTGAATCACTAGCTTAAGAGTGAATATGATGGGTGATAATGTTTCAAATGAAGTTGCTACACTTCACAGGTCATAGGAGGTGCTGAGAATGCGCTCCTTCTTCACACGGACGGTTCTGTTCTCGTTTACTCTTTGAAGTTCGTATGCAGAAATATTTGCAACCTCTCCATGAATATTTTCTTTTAATCCTTGGTTTGGGGTGTTACTGAGCTAAAGTTTGTCTTCAAACAACTCCTGAAGAAACTCCAGTAGCAATTATTATGTACTTGTGTGTCCCCATAAGTGAAACGATGTTTCATCTTAGAAGAATGCCACTTGCAGATTCATTTAACTGTCGATGACAGATTGCAGAAACCATTTGAATGAACCCTGCTGACTGTATTGCATGGATTACCGATGTTTTATGGGGTTTAAGCTTTAGAAATTCTGTTACCCTTCATGCATGTAACTTTGGCACAGTCTCTNTTTTTTTTTTTTTTTTTTATTTATTGTCAACAGTCCTGGTGATCTAAGTCTGTTCACCAAATTGTGAATTGTTTGGCTGCTGGGAGCTCTCTCATCATGAAATTTACATTGAGATTTTGTCAACACTTTCTTGCATATTAATGTTTTTGTGTGTTTCATACAGAAATACACATTTCCCTAAGCTGTACTGCACCAAGACATAACACACTGCTCAGGTAGTCTGTAACAGAACAAAATGGCTACAGAAGCTGATCACTGTTGCCCACTGCTGACAAATCATAAGCAGATCACCCTGCATGAACCACACTGCTCATCATGCAACATAATGCTGTGAAGCGGCCCATAAGTTAATAACTTCTCTGTGTAAAGACTGGTTGATGTTCATCATTACAGGCAGCTTGAGCAGATCCTGTCTGACGAATCCTTGCCAGCGAAGGGAGAGGAAAAGTTGGCAGCCTTGACTGCAGGAGAGCGAGCAGCATGGGCAGTAGCGCGCCAGGAATTCTTTTTCAAAGGGCTGAATCGTCAGTCGTTGGATGCCATAGAAAAGGCTGCCTTTGTTGTCGCATTGGACGACTTTCCATATGAGTTCGATGAGGTACAGTGTTTTAGGGTGGGGTGAGACTGAGTCCACTTGCTATGTCAGACACTAACTGGCCTGTTCTACCAGCACCATTTCATAGATAATGATTAATGTGGAGCAGTAGGAATGAGGATTGGTAGGGGAAACCAAAGTACCCAGACAAAACCTCTCCTGGTGCCACTTGGTCCACCACAAATCCCACATGACTTGACCTGGGCTCTAACCCAGGCCGCTGCGGTGGGAAGGTGGTGACTAACCAACTGAGCTATTGCACTGCCAAGGTACAGTGTTACTTAAGGGTATATTCAAGATCCAAGAACTTTGTCATTTTGTGGCATTTATCGCAAATGAAACATCAGTTGGATTACTGTTCGTTAGTCTTATGTAAGGACAGATGCTGCAAGAATTGATCTGAGTGTATCTTGGTTTGATAACAGCCTATATTTGGTTAAAACAAAATAAAACTTTGCAGTGGAATGCCCATTTAGTGCAGAGCCTGTTGATATAGCGGTGACACCCTACACTTTGTGCCCAGGGGGTGCTCCTTTCAGTCATCCTGTCATTGAGCGATATATAGTCTAGTTACTGGCATCGTTGCTAAATCAGACATGAAATGAACAGACCCATTTCATCTTCCTTTACTTAAGGTTTTTCCTCATGTAATATTCAGTTTCAATGATCCCAAGTCAGTAGTCTGTGTGTTAAACTTCCTTCATTTAAGACTATCCTCATTTTAATGTTTAAACAACTTTATATATCTGCATATGACAGAGTTTACTCAAATGTAACGCTCCTTTGGTGTGATTGTGTTACAGCATGACCCAAGCAAGTTAGACCATTATGGACAAATCCTGCTCCATGGGAAGGGCTATGATCGTTGGTTTGACAAATCCTTCACGCTCTGCATTGGCTCCAATGGACGGGTAAGCCACCAAGTATGTTAGTTGCTTGTCTTGTGCCTCCAGATGTCTCTCTAGTCTCTTCAAGCCTCTGCCACCTGAGTAGGGGCATTGAATCCAATTCTGATGTGGGGTCTGTTATCCCAACTTATATGGTGCTCATGAGAGTTCTGATTGGCTGACGGGTCCTGCAGCCTCTAACTTGGATCGTCACTGAATGGGATGGCATACTGGTAACACTCTGTAGGCTTGTTTTCAGTAGATGGTCAGTTTGAATTTTGGCTGGGTCTCCCAACTATTTTGAGTTTTTTTGTGGTTTTTCCTCAGTCCCTCCTGGAAAATGTAGGTAAAGTACCTTCGTTAGGTGATGATTGTTTCTTTCTAAATCCTTTCCAATCCGTTTTCTGCCATTCTTCTATTCAGCAGTCTGTAATCCAGTTGCTGTCAGTGTTGTAAAACAACCCACAAAAGATTTGGACTGCCGACTGGGGAGCAGGTATCTCTCGTACTGCTAGTGGCAGCAGAAGGAGCTGTATATGATCAGGGATTCAACTTGGACACCCTAAATGAGAGTCCATTGTCTTACCTGAAGGCCAACAGGTACCCAGAAAAATAAGGGTGCAGTTTCCCCTCTTATCCAGTCAAACCAGCTAGACAACAAGCAGTGTGGGCAGGAACAGTGGCTGAGTAATGAAATGTGCAATGTAGCACAAATCAGAGTTAGGAAACAAGGGGACAGGAAGGATAATATGATGGAAGAAGAATACAGGAGAAAGAAGGGAAAGAGATAAAGGAATTAAAGGGATATCGGATAGGGGATGTGGAAGAAATTATTCCCCACTGAATTGCAGCATGTTGCTCCCCCATGTATTTGTGTAACTGAGATGAAATGACAGACATTATCTGTGTTAGATATTTCACTTTCTGTTGTTTGACCAGTTTATTCCATTGTATAATAAAATGTTTTTCTTTTACTCGCAGATCGGTTTCAACGCGGAGCACTCGTGGTAAGTACACGACCCCATTCCTCAGTGGTACTGCATCTGCTGTTTTGTAGTTGGTGTGCCCCTTTGTTTGCACAGTGGTACATAGTATCCCTTTATGTATTTAAATTGGTTCAGATTAATTTCTACTGATGTAGAGGCTTTCAGAAGATGAAGATTGAGCATTAGTAGCAAATGAAGTCGATTGAATATTTCTAGTGAAAAGTTATCTTCCAGACTAGAGAAAGAGCACCTCGCAATATTCTGATTTCACTGTAATTGACAAATTATATTTTTTCAGTTCATGTTGGAAGATCATGTTAATCCTTTGAATCATGAAACTCACTTAAATGACGTAAAATTTGAAATTTTTTCAGCGGGGACTGTGAAGAATACCGTCTTCTGGGATGTGGCACTGTGTACATCGCATTCTGAAGATGGAGGCTATATGTTCCTCCGAAACGTCTGTTCACACAAGATCTACATGGTGCCACATCCCAGAAGACGGCATTATTCATGGTCACTGCCATGAGAACCTCAACTTTTACATAGTGTTCCTCTATGGGAAGGCTACTCATCTACAAATTCGATGATAATACCCTGAAGATGGAGGCGATACGTTCGTCTGAAACGTCGGTTCACACAAGATCTACATGGTGTCACATTCTAGAAGACGGCAGTCTTCATGTAAATGATGTTTAAAATTTAGTCTCTGCCTCACAGAAATGCACATCTACATTGTAAACACTGTTTGTTTAATGCTGTGTGAGGAAATGATTGTTGTGAGAATCATGCAAAACACATTAAATACACTGTGCAGGTAAAATGTGGAATTTATTGTTTTAAAGCTGGTGGTTCATATAGTTACCACTGTGTTTGAAAGGGTTAATGCCTGCATGAAAACAATTTTTCCAGAAAACTGTAAAGAAAAAATAAGAGAAAATTGCTTCGTGGCCTCTTTGACTGCAGGTACAAATTCTACTACAGGAATACACACCTTTGTGTGTAAGTGTGTATATGTATGTACAGCATTTGACATAATTTCTGCAGATCTTATAATCTCCATGTTCCATTGACTGGATTTAAATGGAATTGATGAGAGCCCCTTCAGGTATGCTTTGGATCCATTCAGTGAACTGTGTGTGCGTTTTTGCAGGGCTGATGCAGCTGTCATGTCACATATGTGGGAGTACATCATCTTGGAAGAAGAGACTTCTCTCACTGGGTAAACACTGCCTACAGGCCCATCAGATTTCTCCCGACTCCTGACCCCATGCCATAAGCCCATCCACATAGCCTGAATGAGCCTGCTTCTCTACTCACATTTATGCAATCTCTGATAGCGGCCGGACGTTATATTTCTTATTGTACAGCTCACAGCCACTGGATGGAGAGAGCTCTGTTGTTGTTACATATATGGCAGCATCCTTCATTGTCCAGCAGTAGAAGTCTTTGAGTCTTCAGGTGTTAAAGAGTAAATAAAAATGGTGATATTTTGCCTGTGCTTAAAGAATTGAGAACCTCACCATCAAGAAATATGGGGGACTAGCGGTATAGCTCTACCAATTCATAGCATTGTCAGTAGACTGAGATGGTGGTCAACTTCATGATCCTCCTCCTCTGGTCTGAAGAAACAGCCCCTGGTACCCATTGTATACAAGTCTGGATGCTTTGATGACGAAAAAACTCTTGCTTCTGCCAGGCATCAAACCCTATTCCTCGATCCTACACACTAGTAGCCTAGTAGCTATACTGTGATAGGTTGGGAGTCATTTTCTAAAACTTGGCCAGTTTGACTGCGTGCGTGTCACGCGCAGCTGGTCGCTGGAACATGGGCCTAGGCTTTCCCCTTTCTCTGTAGACAAGCATGATGTTGCCAGGATGTTGTCCTCTGGTCCTCTTATCTGTATTAGCTTGTCTACCCAACTCTTACGTTTGCAGTGCCGCGAACTCGATCTCCTCCTGTTTCTATTTCCTCAGTTGCCTCCCCCCGCCATTTCTGTCACTCCAGTGCTCTGTGGTCTTGATTCATCAGCACTGGACATCACTGTGTTCCTTTCCCTGATGTTTCAGTTACCTGATTTCTGCTTCATCAGATAGAAGTTTATCACTGAAGCTTCCAAATATCTGTAAGTGTAACTTCCTAAATGTGGCAAAACAAGTGTTGCAGATATCGCTGAGTTTAAGTAAAACCACATTAAACTAAACAGGTTGTTCTAATGGTAATGCTGTAGTCTTGTATTCAGGTGCTGAGTTTGAATCTGGGCTGGGATTATTCATGGGTTTCCCCAGCCCATCTACACAAATGCCAAGGTAGCACCAGGATGAGCTCATGAGCTGCCCTGCAAGTTATCAGTCTTCATGCCATTAGATAGTCACGGGATCACACATGTGCAGTGAACAAGACATAGACATGACTACTGAACAGTTTGGCACATGCCACCATGGTTCTGACTTGTGTTTGGGACGTGCCCAGTTCAAATGTTGGCCAGGACACTGACTATTCCGACTGAGGTCTTTCATGGTTTCTCTCAGTCCCTTCAAACCAATGCCAGGATTAGGCCACAACTGCTTCTTCACAGATCCTTCCAAATTCATTATTTACCAACCATCCAACCACTGGCCGCGCCATAGCTCAAGCGGTTAGTCGCTGGCTTCCCACCACGGCGGCTCGGGTTCGATCCCGGGTCTGGTCAAGTGGGATTTCTGGTGGGCAAAGTGGCGCTAGGGCAGGTTTTCTCAAAGTACTTCAGTTTCCCCTGCCAGTCTTCATTCCACCAATTGCTCCACAATCATCCTCACCTATCATCTGGGGCTGGTACAAAAGGCCAGAAGTGGCCACAGTACAAGGGACTTAGTCCCACCCCACTAGGAATAAAAAAAAAACCGTCCTCTTATTCATTGCTCCATAGACTGTGCTGCTGACTGTTATAGGGTAAACCATAAATCAAAAGATGTCCCTGTAGTGTTACTAACACGACAATTATTTTTGAGGAACGTCTTGTGGCAGTTTATTAGAGACAGTATTTTCGGAAGTCACATAGAGTCATATAGTCCCATAAGGATGAAAATTTTTAAATCGCTGAAACAATTAATTGTACCATAATGAGAAGCAACTTCTAGTTCTTCAGAACAGATCTTTAAATGTAAAACACTAATCGTTGCTGTTCTGTCATTGTGTATGTTGGCAGGGAGAGTTGGTAGTATTATGAATAGGAGCAGAAGATGGCAGCAGTAACTAGCTCAAGGTATGCTTGAGTTAGTATTTCAGTGCCCATCTTATCCAAAAGAAAGTTCATCACATGCCTCTAGATAGTAGCACCGTCTAGTACATATTGTTGTTCTTTCAAATTCAGTATCTTGGTGTAAGTGTAGCTGTCTGCTGGTAAGGTTTAAAAATTGAGAAAATGTTACACAGGCACAGAAACAGCGCATTTTATGCTCCAGATTGAATAATGATTCATGTTTGAATTCTGACAGACTATTTATAAGAAGTAAACTAGTGGCCAGGCAACGTGTATGGAATGCAACCCACAATTGGATGTCTGCAGTTCTTCATCTAGTGGCTGTGCACTGTACAGCGTACAGAGAAAGATAAGACAGGTGTTGGCACATCATTCTCAATTAGAAACACTTAAACATCCTGAGATGGATTATGAGACTTTTATGGCAGTGATTGTTCAAATTGTGGTCTTCTGGGCAAGGATCTCATTTCCCAACCCCTTCAAACATGTCTGCCTTCATGTTTAATGCAACCAGTTCCTTGCCTTGTCACCCTGAAGACAGAAGCTGCATGTTCCTCTGAAACATCTGTAGTTGCCTGCACAGTGTCACAACTCAGAAGACCACTAAACATCCTGTGTTCGTGTTGCTGACAGAAGATGATTAATTGTGTTTTACATTGTCCTCCACCCAGTGCACTTCTCTGTCACCAATTTCTCTCCTGATTGGTTCCGTCATTGCTGGTTTCCGTTCCTAGCTTCCTAAATCTGCAGCCGGTTCTCTCCATTAGCATCCTTCCTAACCAGAGATACAGCTCTGTCATTCTTTCTTCTGGGGGTTGTTTCTATGCTGTATATTTTATTTGCCAGTTCTCTTTCTTTTTTGGCATTGGTTTCTTGATTGGCGATACTTCGAGTTTAACAGAACGACTGCCGCTGAAGGCTGTCTTGTCAGTTGTTCATCTTGTGATGTATAAATGGTTATGGTTTCTCCTTGGTTTACCAGGGCTGATGCGCCTGTCATGAGTCACATGTGGGAGTACATTGTTGCGACCGAACTTGAAAATGGGTAACCAAATATTTGCATGTTTGATGATGGTGTGTTACGTGTGATACTCCATAATGACTCTGTAACTTAGTGTTGCGTTTTTTCGGTTTCTATCTAATCTGTGATTTTGGCTTTCGGATTTCAACCACGGCACACATTAAAGTTGTTCCAGTGTTTCAGTATACATTGGACAGCACCATACTCCGCTCCCCCCACACACTCCCATTGTGAGACCATCCTCCTTCCATTCCATTCACCCTGAAGATGGTGATTGCAATGTATGCTGGAGTGGATCAACCTCAGTGTGCGGTGCAAGTAAACACCAAAAGCTGAAGTCACACGACTCTGACTGTTGTGCTTGCTGCGTTATCAGAATGCCCCTGTTCTGTTCACATTGTGCAGGAGAGGTGCACCAGTTTTGTTTGTGGTGCTGCCAGTCTGTAAAGCAAGTTCACACATTCACTGCCATGCCCCCATACTGCAGCCTTACTTGCCAGGCCAGCCATTTTTCCACACAATGTCTTTTAAACTTACTACATTCATAGTTGAACTGGAATTAAGAACAGTCAGTAATTAGTGTATGTTCCAAGGACAACTTAAAAGTTTCTCTGCATTCGAGTGAAATCTGTAGGAGAAACTGACAGTTGTGTAGACAGTGATACCAGCCCACCACTGACACGCAGTGAGCCGCAAAGTATGAGGTGACAGGCAGGCAGTGTGTTGGCTGGATTGTATATAGTTCTCTTTTCTTCTTTTTGATGTGCAGAATATTAATTATGGCAAGTTCACATCTGTATGTTTGTACTTTATACAGTTTGTATTACTCATTGTCTTCTTTCTTCTAAGTACTAAACCACATCTCAGACCATAAAGATCTGAAAAATCATGAAACACCATCAAGAACTTTTCATAATGTTTTCGAGGTTCTTTTCCAAAATTTCAGGCCTTACTGTGCCTGCACTGGGCTCATGAAGAGCGTTCTCGTTCTGGTGTATGGTCCCTTGAGATGCCCCTATCCATTTTTAAATTCTGTTGGCGTTCTCTGTGACTCATTAGCTATGCAGCAAGCAGTAAAGAGCTGATCTGTGTAGATAACATTAGAGGCACACTGTAACTTGTCACACTGTTTGTTCGCACACTTGCATGCATGGGAACTTAACGAGCAGTATGCTGTAATATATCCAGAATATTACTGTGTCAACATTTATGTCAATTTTACCCTCCACCAAGATGAATTTATAGTTATTTTCTGTACTGTATTGAAAGCTGCTACTTCTACACAAGTTCCTTTGTTATCTGAAGTGGCATTCTTTACATAGTAAAAAAGAAGTGAAAGTCATATCTGTTTGTGACTGTTGCATAGATTTTCCTACAGCTTGAAGAAAGGCTGCAAAAATGCGCTCAGTAGCTCAGTAGATATGCTTAGAGAAATGTCATTCATGAACTTTGTAATGTTTGAGACCACAAGGAATATGTGAGTGACACAGGTGTAGCATGCCTTAGCAGTATTTTCAAATTGTTACAGAGATTGAAATTTACCTCATGAGTTTGATTATTGTAGCACAGACTGCTATCACCCAGAAGCAGGGAATGGGTGTAATACAGATGTGTCTTTAATATCAGTTCCCATGATGCAGACACATAAATAGCTGTAATGGAGAGTTACGCTGGGGCCACATGAGCGCACAAAATGCGTCCATTGTAACGAACGTCATGATGTCTTTTGTAGAAATAAACAAGAAAGGCGAATGCTACACTTTCTTCTGGCTCCATTGCAGACAAAAACTATGCACTGCATTCTGCAATTGTGTGGTGTCCTCAGCAACGTCCGTCATAAAGTATGTTCATTACAACGGACGCATTTTGTGTGCTCGTGTGGCCCCAGCCTTAATCTGTTGTTATGAGCACTACAGAATGCAGAAACTTTGCCATTTACAAATTTTGGACAGTAAAAATAGTTATTAAGCAATTTGGCTGAGTTTTGGCTTGTTTTTGAGAGAGTTTTGATTCGGATCTCTTGTGGGACACTGACTATCTTGACCGAGCTTTACTTTTCCTCAGTTTTTCCAGCCAAGTACTGTGATGGTATCTCAGATCACACTATGACCACTTCCTTCCCAATTCATTTTTTATCCTACCATTTGATTCTCTATGAGTTACTAACAGTGTCATTAAATAAACCATAAATTAATGTGAATGAAATGAAGATCTTGACACACTGCAAGGTATAAATTTAATTTTTCTCTCACAGAAATAATTTTTTAGCATATGTGCATACGGCCTTTCTCCTCTCTCTGTCTGCTTCTAGAAAGCCGATGAGAGGGAGAGAACATAATAGCATTTTCACTACTTATCTCTGTACTGGGTAGAAGAGTTCTCATCTGTTTTACTTTTAATCTGATGATTTGTGCAAGCTGCATGTGTGTGACCAGCATGGTTGGTGTTCCTGATAGTATCTTGTGCTGAAACATTGTCATTGTTATTCAGAAACTGCACTTTCAGTTTTCTAACAGACTTACTCCATATTCTAAGACCAGGTGTTGGTGTGGGCATTGTAACAAGGGTTTGGTGGTGTATGGGATGTGAGGTTCTCACAGCAGTGAATATTATGATTACAGTCTTGTGGGATGTGGTGCTACGTGCTATGGTGGATAGTTTGAAGCAAGCAGTTACAGGCACTTCAGAAATGTTTGTACCTGTATACCATGCTATACAGCTTCACATATCGGAACTAAATACTCTTAAGGTTTTATGATATACATTTGTGTTCACATCATGGATCCAATAACCTCCCCATAGTGCTGGAAATAAAACATGTCGCACATTACAAATTGATGACGACTACATATCATACATCCTTGGTCCAGTAACATATATATAATCAGGCCTCTCACAGACAGCACAAGTTGTCAAATCATGTGTTTTAAAAAGTTTAAATTAACTGTGTCAGTTCAGTTCCGAAGAGTTTTCCTCTCTAACATTTCCTGAACTCGCTTCATTCTCCTATCCATCAGTTAAAAGGTAATAGCATATTTCCAGCTGTACAGTATTTTAAGGAAAGCAGATGAGGAACTGTGTTTAGTTGTGGTGATAGGATCAGCAGGTAATCAAGTGCTGGTACCAGTCTCCTTGAGTACTTTGCATCACATCCCAGAAGTATCTAATCATAGTCTAGTTTCCATTTATTGAGGTAAGTTTACCTTGTTGAAGGCCGTGCCATGGCTCAAGCGGTTAGTCACTAGCTTCCCACCACAGAGGCCTGGGTTCGATCCCAGGTCTGGTCAAGTTGGATTTGTAGTGGACAAAGTGGCACTGGGGCAGGTTTTCTTGGAGTACTTTGGTTTCCCCTGCCAATCTTCATTCCACCAAATACTCCATCATCATAATCACCTGGGGCAGGTACAGTAGGCAAATCAGTAGCTGCTGTGCCAAGTGGTCCCAGCTGGACTGCACCCCCCACCAAGCGAAAAAAGTTTACTTTGTTACTCCTTCTCTATGTTAGAGACCAAAGACATTTTCCATTCAAACTGGGGCCCAATTTAGGTTTACTCAGTGTCATCAATTTGTGTAGAGTAATGTTAATTTCTTGTAAAACTAGTGGATATATGGTTTGAATAATTTGTTTCAGTCCTGTACTGTAATTTTGCAGTTGTATGAGATCTGAGGTTCTCATGGTGATGGGTGTCAGGATTTCCTGCCATGTGACGCTGTATAGTTGAGTATATTGTTACCAGTATTTGTGAGGAGGCTGTTGCTCGAGCTGCAGGATAGGAGAGTGAGCCGTGCAGACATAGGGAAGGGAGGAGGGTATCCGTGTGCTCATTCTCCAGCTCTGCTTGCCCTTCTGTCCTGAATATGCAGGTAGCAGATTCCCTGCAAATGGCAGTAGGTTTCTAACACGCCTGTGGAGACAGCAGCCTTCATAGGCACCACTGTGAGGACCCCAGATCTTGCAGAACTGTTGCGACTACTAGTGTTTGCTGTGAATGTTATTCTGCAGATACAGTGACGACGGGAGAACAAGAGGGACCCCAGAGTTCACACCTCCGGTTCCCATAAGGTTACAGTGGAATCTCTTACCACCTTGCATTGTAGCAATTGAGAAGTCATATCAGGTAGGAAGGTACAGTACAGTACAGTCACATTTCAGCACGATGACATATTTGGATATGAGTGGATAATACGTTTCATAGAAGTGAAGAATCATGTTGCAGTCTTCGCAGTTATGGCACCATGTAGTCTGGCAGGTGCTTACCCAGAAGTTGGAGGCAGTGTGCCTAACTGGAATGTTCTTATTCATGTACTAGACTGTATGCCGCAATAACACAGAAGACCACAATATGAAACTTCATTTTATTTTCCCAGAATGTTAATGTAGCAAAGTCTTTACTGTGGCAGTGTTTTGTATAATTATTGGGTCTACCTAGTTAGCTGTGTACAAGTCAGAAAAAAGGAGAAACCATTTCACAATCAGTTTGAATGATTAAAATGTAGTCATTAACATAATGATTTTTTTAGTATAAAATTCTGGTGTGAGGAACTGAAACAGTTGCCTTTTATTTTAGTGTAAATATTGCCTGAACTTAAAATGTCGCTTTAATTAAAGTGTGTATCTTAATTCTAAAGGTACACTGTCCTTATGTTTACTGAGTTTCTGGACTTCTCCACTTTGGGTATTCCAAACAGAACACTGTTTTTGAAATTGGATCTGTTTACATCCTAACCTCTTCACCCAAGTGTTTTCAATGTTAGGTGATGGAAAAAGCCCAGAAACTTGGTAATCACAAATGAAATCCTTACCCAAAACAGTAATAAAAGTTTATGCAGTTTGTTGCCTAAATTAAATTCACATCCTTTGTTATTTATTGGTTAAAGGCTCTGTGTTTTGTGTTGACTTGCTATGCTTATAACCAGTTCATTTCATCTGCAGGTGGCATTAAGTCTGCTGAATGATGTAGACTTACGAGCTTACATGCACAGTGCATATGGCAAGGGTTTCATGAAGGAGTGTCGCATCAGTCCAGATGCCTTTATACAAATGGCTCTTCAGCTGGCTTATTACAGGGTGAGATAACACTGCAACTCAAAATTGCTCATTCCACAATGAATTGTGGATCTGAATATGGTACCTCTTGCCATAAATAAAGCACGATCTGTGACCAGTGGCAATATTATATCGGTAGTTACTATAGGATTCTGATGATGGTGTATAACACACAGAGATATTGGTCCAGTGATTGAGGCTAGCTCTTTCTAAGGGACCCAACAGAATAGATGTTTTCCCTCACCTGAGGATGGAAACAGATCCAGTTCCCGAAACGTCGTGTTTTTTCTTAGTTATCTTAAAAACCAGGACGATGGATAAAGTCCGAAAACCCAATATCCCTGAATATTATATCGGTATTTTCATACAGAAGGTCTTATTTCATATACATACATGGTAATTCAAAGTCCATTACCAAATTTTAGGATGTTTTCGAGAGATAATCTGGAGCAGAAAATGTAACTATTATAAATATATTGGTGATGTATGTTCATATTCTATGATTGAAACAAATTCTGCATGCCTGTTTTTAGTGTGATTTGTAAGAAACAGTTAACTTGTGCTGCAGCCCTTTTGTCTTATTTTTAAGTGTTTATAATTATTACTTCCAGATTCTGTTGAATGAATTCCCATGGAATTTCATGTTGGGGTGGGGATTTCTCATCATGTGTACTGAGGGGCTGATTGAAGTTGGAATTACTTCTCAATGTAGACATATCCTGCATTATTACCAGTGCAGGTCACAAGGCAGTCATAAATTTGGAATGCTAGAGGAAGTATGCAGAGCCAGGATAACATAGTAGGTGTAGCAACTGGCTACAGGCTGGAGTTCGAGTCGCGGTAGGATCAAGAATATTCTCTTCTCCACGTCGTCCAGACCGGCTCTGGGGTTCACCCAACCTCCTATACAATGGGTACCAGGGGCTCTTTTCCTGGAAGTAAAGCAGCCAGGCATGAAGCTGACAACTCACCTCCAGCTAGTGCCTATGTCAAGAAAATGCGGATCTGTACCTTCACACTCCCATGCACCTTCATGGCATAGTGCTTAATTAGTTAAGCACAGGGACAACTTTACATTTCACCTTAGAGTAAGTATTCTGTTTTATTGTTGTATGTTTACAGGATGCTGGTCGGTTTAGTTTGACATATGAAGCATCCATGACACGATTGTTCCGTGAAGGAAGGACTGAGACAGTACGTCCGTGCACAATAGAATCAGCAGCATGGGTCCGTGCTATGGTTGGAAACACTGCCTCGGTGAGAAATTGGTCTGGCAAAGTTATTAAACTAAGTCCTCTACAGTGTGTGTGTTGAGCCTGTATTTCTGAACCTTCAGTTGAGGCACCTCTTGGTCTTCTCAGAGTGAAACTTGACGTACCTCTTTTCATTGTCAAGTTCATTTTTCCCTCAAGCTGCATTTACTGTGTGTTATAAACACGAAGATACCGAGACTTCTGAACTTATTTGTTGCATATACAGAAGGAGTTATATGAAAGAAAGTTTTCATACGGCTTTTTAGACCCTTTTGACATAAGATTAACAATGCATGAGACATATTTCAGGTACCTTTTATTGAGTCCTAGTGTAACCAAATTCAGAACTACTACTGTGAGGTTAGTTTATGAGTACGTCTTCCATTTGATGTTCATAAATCTCGTATTTAGATAAACATGTAGCTTCAAATAATGCAGCAGCTGTGGTCTACTGGCAGGTGGAGGAGCGTGTGCGGTTACTGCAGATCGCTTGCAGAGTACATCAGATGGCATACCAAGATGCCATGTGTGGTAAGGGCATTGACCGTCACCTGTTCTGCCTTTATGTGGTCTCCAAGTACCTGGAGGTAGATTCTCCATTTCTCAAAAAAGTGCTGAGTGAACCCTGGCGACTGTCCACATCGCAGACTCCTCATGGACAAACGCCGAAACTGGATTTGAAGAAGTACCCTAGATGCATCTCAGCAGGAGGAGGTTTCGGTCCTGTTGCAGATGATGGCTATGGGGTGTCATACATAATTGCAGGAGAGGACCTCATCTTCTTCCATATCACTAGCAAACGAAGCTCACCCGAAACTGTAAGTTCCCATGTAACTAACTCTGTGGCACAGGTTCAATCCTAAGACATTTATAGTAACACAGCAGGTGAAGAAATTTTGCATCTTTTGCATAACCTTGTGGTTAAATTTTATATGCCACTTGATTTCTTGAGCCAGTTGCATCCTGTTATCAACCTCCAGTGTCCTGTTTTCCTCCCATCACCAATGTTACCGCAGTCAGTAGAAATACAAGTAATGTAGTTGATGCACAAACTTGTGAGGTGGTAGTACCATATCTTGACATGATATGTAGAAATGGGTCTTCGAAAGATATGCTACTTTCATTAAGGTAATTTCTTCGTAGGGTGATTGTGCAGACATTTTTTAGTTTTTGTTTTAATTACTGAACCATTTGAGCTGGACACGTGAAATTTGATATGGAGGTAGATAATACTCCACACCCCACTGTGAGACCTGTATACCAAGCTTCATCTGCCACCTGCCTCATTCACTTGGCAGATGGTAACTGCAGTGTATGCCATGTTATTGGGTCAGTTTCAACTTATGACATATTTCAATTCAAAAGTCAAAATTACACGTGTAGCTTCATGTTGGGCTCTCGTGTGAAGTTACTATATTTTGTGCTTATTTTTTTTTTCTCTCTCCCTTCCTTTTGTAAATTGTTCGTTGACTGATTGACATAATTAAGTGGGTGAAGCTAACTGAAAAAAGGAAAGTAGTAACATTTTGTTGTGTGTATTGCTCCTTCAGGACTCGAGCCGCTTTGCACAGCATATAGAGCGGGCATTGTCAGACATAGAGAATTTGTTCCTGGAATGGAGGCGACTACAGCAGCAGAAGAATCACAAACATTAATGTCACATGTGCTTAGGGAATTTGCAGTAGGCATTCCACGGTTGAGCTCAGCCCCATGACTTCTGTGTTTGATGGGCAGTATGCAATATGTTTCTGAGTCAGTATATCGCCCTTGTGTCTTTTTACTTATGATTATTATCATCATTTTATTCACTGAGAAATTAGTTTGGATCTGAAAAAATATACAGTGTTATGGAACCATGCATCATGGTATGTGAAAGTGGGTGCATGGTTCTACCTTTCACATTTGGCACTAACAATGCATTATTTCACAACAAAGGTATTAATGTTGGTAGTTAACATACAGACTCCGTACAGAGTACATCTTCAGTCTGTTGCATCTTGAATTATATATTTTATAGTATGTTTTGAAATGAAAGGTTTTCTTTTTCAATCCACGTCCTAAATTAATTGTTTTATGTCCAGATTACAACCTTGTGGGATGTAGCACCATGTAGTGTGGTGGGTAGGTTGCAGAACCTGCTACTGTAACGTTTTTCTTCATTCCTCTGCCTTGAAGATGAAGGCAAAGCATTGGCACCTGTATATGAAACTGTGTGGTGTCACATCCCAGACGACTGTAGTCCGACTTTTCACTGATGTGAGATGTTTGAATTTCATGTGGTTTTATTTCAGTTACTGTTCAAACCTGGCACATTTCAGGATGATCAGTGTTGTGGAGTGAATTGTGCTCTGTTGTGAAAAATTTCAAGTGACAGAGGGAATTTGTTAAGGAGGCATGACAATGTAAAAAATCTGTGTATATCACAGTGTGATATACCGGTGTGCCAGATTATTTAACTCTTACAAATGTGAATCAATGCAATTTCAACATGCAACGCTCAATGCAATGTTTCTTGTTGACTGTTATATAATCATATATATTTTTTATTTTTAAATAATTCTTGATGGTGTTGGAAGTTTTATTTTATAAAAGCAATCTGGAGTTTTTGAAAAGGCAGATTGTGTACTAAGTCAGGACATTCCGCACATCTGTGTTGGGACTATTATGCCATTGCAATCTGCTGCCTGTGGGAACACTACAAATGGAATAAAAAATAATTCAGTTAAAAGAAAAAAAAAACATGACATGATTAACTTGAGGTAATTTTACCACAAAACTGTATTATTTTATTTCATTTCCATAAATATGTTATTTATATAAGCAAAATTATAATACCTTAAGTACTTAGACACTTACAGATATTTGTTTACACATATTTTCATATCTTCTCACTGTTACTTTCCTGCCTCCATTTCTATCATATTCGGCGCACACCAAACTGTATATTTCCCCCCCCCCCTTTTTTTTATTGTGGCTGGTAGAAGCCAGGTTGGAAATCAGAGAGGATGGGAAAAGGTTAATACATGGCAGTTACATTTGTAAACTAAGCAGACAAATACAGATATAAGCAAAATATTGCAGGCTTCCAGAACCCCTTCTGAATCTATCGATATGCTATGTCTTTCAGGCAGCTTTCATTAAACAATCAAAATGAGTTTGCCCAATATCGTTCTAGTTACACCAGTCATTGCATTAAGGATATTGGAGGAACACAACTCTGATCAAAAGTACATTGATAAGACTAAAGAAGTGAACTGTTTGGTATACTGAGAAATATTCATTTTCCTTGGATTTTCTGTTCCTTTTTTTTTATTTTCAGTATGTAGGTGATTACTGTTGCATTTTCCTCCTGCATTCGTCCCACTGGATCATTATAGCTATGGACCCTTATATTGAGACATGCAATATCTTTTCTTGCCTTGAACAGTAATTTAGAGGAATTTTCATTTCCATCAATTAAGAGTTTTAATTAACTTCAGCATACAACAATTGAACAAGAGTATGTACACCATGTGGACAAAAATTGAGAACTTTTATTTGTTAGTAGGTGTCATCCATTGTATATATTTGATACTACCTGGTATATATAACATTTGTCATTACTTTGTACATATGGCCATTAGCCTTTATCGGCCATCTATTACTGTTTATTGTACTATAGTCTGTTAACAATGCAACAAATTGTTCCTTCTTTCTTACACTCTCACATTCAATATAACATGTTTCGGCCCTGAATGACTATCTTCAGGTGTTGTACTATGCTGAAACTGCTACACTGCACTAATATTGTCCGTTTATCACATATGCGACTGCAAACTTCATGGTTTAAAATGTCATACTCGATGTCAATTGGTATGCACTAAATTAGGACATGCTGTAGTTCACTTAATTTAAATCAATAAAATTTATTATAATTTTGTGTAAATTTTGTAAAATTCTAATTACAACTCACAAGGGTCATTGTCCACTTGTTATGATCTGTTTCCTTTACTTCAGATGTTTAATGCATTGACTTGTTTTTCTGTATGTAAGCCTGATGTTCTGTTACATCTTCAATCTGCAATTTTGCCCCTTGTGCATTGTTCCATCTTGCAGCATGTGGTGTCATCTTCACTACATAATTGCAAAGTCCAAAAGACCAGCAATCCCGAGTTACGTGCACCATCATTGGATACCTTTAGAATCTTCCAGATTGAACATTTGAAGCTCTGAGGAGAAAGTAACAAATGCCATCCATTTATAGTAACTGCACAGACAGTTAAGAATTAATCATCATATTTCATTATTCCTTCTACGTGGAAAATTTTAACTTTCTGTTGTGTGTTGGTAATTTTAAACCCAACAGAATATGTCTAGGATAGTAACTTTTTATATTATATTGTGTGGTCAGTGAGATTTGAGGTTGATGCAGCCGTGATTGAAGATTGTTACCTCAGGTGCGTGACTGGGTAGTTGGATTGGTACAAACGTTTTTGAGTTTGCCATTTCCTTGTTGGAGAAATGGCAGGACAGTGCATTTTGCTGTACTTTGATACCCAGTGGCATTAAGGTAAGGTATATAAGTATGACCCCATGAAAATGAATGGTGGAGTGGAGGTATAGCTCCATCATTCATCAGGTCTGCGCAAGATGAAGGCGAATGGTCATCTTCACACTCCACGTATACGATCCGTGAAATTGTGTAGGAGACCCAACCAGTGGCATAAAAGGGTATAGTGTGAATCTAAAGTACATGTCTTGGGTACTGAGGGATCCATGGTACGCATTACCAACACACGAAACACTTAAGCGCGAGAACGTTTAGGCGTTTGCGATCCTGTTGTAGGTGCTAGCTTACCGTATGTTTATTCGTTTTTGGGTTTGACGATGTCTAAAAGAGAAGGTAGTAGAGCGCCTCGTTATTTTCAGTTCTATAATGGAGAATGGGAAAAGCTACCTATATTTAAAGGTATTAAAATAATTTAGTTGTTAGACAAATTAATTCAATGAAACATCTGCTGGTTTTAAGTTATAAGTTAGTGCATCCGTGGTTGTGTTAGATATGATTAGTATCTAACCTAGTATCGAAAAACATGCTGAAATTAGCTTATGCAGGAACTGAACTTACGGTATACAGTATTGGAAGAAATTGACTCCCATTTTCCATGTTACATTACTTTAGAGAAGGGGTATAGTGGTGTACAGTGGTGATTGACAGGAAAAGTTGGAATCCTGCGTATTGTAACAAAATCACGACAATGTTTCCATAAGAAAAGATAAATTTTATGTAAAACATACCCTGCTTGTCGCCTCACCCTTCCTCTAATCCCTATTTATCAGCTCCATTTTGTCGAACTTCGCCCTGAGAGTTGTGCGGAAGGAATTTTTGCTTGTATGGTATATTAAAAAATGCTTTTTTGCACAACTCTTATGACGTATAAGGTACCTGAGAAGAAACGTGTAAATGGAAGGGGGGTATTATTTTTCTTTAAAACATTAATTTAAGACACTTTTAAATAGGTAGTTAAATGACCGTCATTTTTCTGTTATTTCAACATATTGCAATATTCCCTGCAAACTTTGTATACAAGTATTCCTAACCTACTACAGTGCCAAATTTTGTATATCCAGCTTTTGTGGTTCAGAATTCATTGTAGTGATGTCTGGGAGCAAGTTTTTGTAATGAAAATTATTTTTGTCTGACTTCAAATTCTTGGTGGTAGGAACTGCTTAGGCTTGGTTGCAATTACAAATTAAAATTGATATTCAGGTGACAAAAGGTAATAGCCATTATTCACACAGAAACAGAGTAGTCATTCTTACATGAAAGTGAAATAGTTGGCTGTTGCAAGAGGCTCCAGAAGTCAAGAAGGGCTTTCTTAGCAGAGGCAAGGGAGTTGTTGAGTGGAGAATACCTTGAATCTTGTATAAAACCTCATTTGAAACTTGAAGTGTTAGGTAATTCAGTTTAATGGTTTGATATGGTCACAGAAGTCAGTATAAATTGCATTATTTTCTGTGTAGTAAAAATACCAGTCTTTGTGGGCCACGATTACATTACAATGATTGTATATGTGGATCTCACGGACCATGGTTTTATGCCTGTTATGCCTCCACAAACTATGCAAATTAAATTAAGGTAAATTAATTTAAATGAACCTGACCATTCACCACATTTTGATGTCTAGGAAGAAGTATGAAGGTAGTTACAAATAAGGAGGAATCAAATTATGTTACAGCGACTCAGTGTATGCCTCTGAATTAATTTTTTAGCCACTAGGCCTAACAAAGTATTCTAACCTAGACATGTCAGTGAATTTGATTTTTATTTAGGGTTACCAGCTCTAATGGGAATTGTTATAATTTATTAATCTTTTCACCATATTGTAAAGATATATCATTATTTGTTATAATTTGTGAACAGAACTGAGACTTTTGTTATTAAAGTGTATATATATGTCAAAGTCCTTTGCAGGCAAAAGCAATGTGACTGTTCACCACATTGAAACTATAAGGTGCCCCCCCCTCAGGGTTCCATGTCATATTTTGAATCTGTTATTTCTGCCTGTCTACCTCAGATTTAGAGATCTAAAATTACTTTATAAGATTTGAGGTTTTCACTGGAGTGACTATGAAGAATACCATCTTCTGGGATGTTGTGCCGTGTAGATCTTGTGTGAACCAACGTTCCTCCGAAACATCAGTTCACACAAGATCTACACAATGCCACATCCCAGAAGATGGCATTCTTAAAATTACTTTGATCATCTTTTTCTTTTTCCATCTATAATGCAACAAATTAGTAACATTACTTCACGTTTATTTCATACAGTGATTGTTAATGTATAAAATGTTATTAACCTAACTTATTAATATATATATATATATACACATATGTTTCAGCCTTACAAAGCCATCTTCAGGGAACATTCTAATTGACTGTGTGCTAATCATGTAGTATTCCCAAGATATATCATTGACGTTCCTTCATATCTTTTTGAATTGTGGCTGTTTCTGTGTCATATTGCATGTGTTGTTTTCCGTTGTGTATATCAAGCATTGCTGTACATTCCTTGAAAATAATTCATAAAGATCAAAAAGGTATGAAGGAACATCGACAACATATCTTGGGAATATTTATTTATTTCGTCTCTATAGACCATTGTTACATGATATAGGACAAGTCAGTTACTGTACATTGGCTGATTACAATAAGAGAATAAAGTTA